AACTTAAAGACTAGAATCTAAACCTACTAAAGAAGCGAATGATTTTTAAAAAAGAAAACGGATGAAGCGAACGACACAGAGAGAACAGAGCAAGAACAGAGAAGAGATAAAGAAAACGACGAGGAACAGTGATTTGAAGCTAACGAAGCAGGGAAGCTTAACGTTGCAGGTGGCGCTTGGGTTTCCTTCATCGTAAGGCGTCGATGTTTTTTTTTTAATTCCTCGTTCAAGACTCAGTCCCTCAGTCCGCCCTTTGTTTCTCGTTTTTGGAGCTGAGAAATCGCACCTCGATTAGATCGACGATTTAAACGAGTTACGTGTTTACTCGTCGATCTGGCGATCCCAGGCTATTTTCCAATCCTAGCAGCGATCCAACTCGACCCTGCCTTTTCTAATTGTAAAATAGTACGATTTAGCGAGTTAGATCGCGATCTTAACAACCTTGGCGGCTAATTGTAAGGCAACCGGGCGAGAGATTGAGAAGGTACACAAACATATCTTTTGGTCTCCATATTGCGTACACACTTTCAAATACATGGCAAAAGAACTCCCATGGTTACAAAATACGTATAGAAAAGGCAAGGGAATAGTTAAGTATTTTATTAACCATACCCATGCTTTAGCTATCTTTCGTGAGAACATAAAGTTGGAGTTGTTAAAGGTTGCAAAAACCCGGTTTGCATCGCATTACATTTTGCTAAAAAGAGTGATGGATTGTAGGGAGGCTCTTGCCTCAACTATTTTTTCCAATTCTTGGAGGAAATGGGTGAGAACTGGAGATGAAAATGCAAGAATTAATGGTGTTAATGTTGCTGAAACCATTAAGAGTGATAAGTTTTGGGATGATGTGAGGAATGTTTTGACAAGTGACAACTAAGCCTATTTTTCTACTTAATAAGTTTTGTGATAATGATGGCTCAAAATGGGTGAAATATATGAAAGGATGGATAATATGTTGGGGGAGATAAAGGACATTATGGTGGATAATGTATATTCTTGCTATTACCCGGATATTGAGAAAATAATTGTAGCTAGATGGGAGAAGATGACAATCCACTTCACTGTTTGGGTTTGCATTAAACCCAAGGTTTTATGACAAATTCTATCTTGAAAAATTGGCTCCGGGTGGTATTGCAAGAAAAGCACAGAATCAAGATAAAGAGGTTGTGATTGGTGTTATGGAAGCTTTCAAGATAATTGCAGAAAGTCCAGAAGAGGAAAGGCTATTACGAGAGCAATTTGCTACATTCCATATGAAGAAGGGGATCTATTCAATGGTGTCAACACAAGCGGATTCTGTGACAATGGATGCAATTGATTGGTGGTCAACCTATGGAGCCGAAACACCGGAATTAGCCGAAGTAGCAAAGAAGGTGCTTTCACAACCGATTAGTAGCTCTTCGGCCGAAAGAAATTGTGGAGTACATCTTCTCATCTTCACAGTGTGAAGAGAAACCGGTTGAATTGCAAAAAAGCCGACAAATTGTCATTCACTCCAACATTCGACTTCAGTCACGGTTTTCAGAATCATATAAAGTCGGTCCACACAAGCACATACATAGAAGGCTCAAGTTCAAGACTCGAAGGCATGGCTTGGGAAAATCTAGAAGATGAAGACGTGGACAAGGGGAAAGGAAAGAGACCTCGAGTTGATTAGTCATGTACTTTTTTTGTTTGAAGTTGAACTTTAAATCAATGATTGTAGTACTATTTTTCTGTTTTGCTTGAAATGTTTCTTGAATATTAATGTTTTTGCTTTTGTTTAATGTTATGAAATCATGTTAAGAAATCTGTTTTTGTTCAATGTTGAAATCTGTATTCTGTAATTCAGTTTTATATTTTTATTATAGTACCAAAATATAAGGTACAACGTACCGAACATATGGTACATCGTACCGTACGCATACCGAAATGAACCTACCCCCCTCCGAATCGGATACGCTAGATCTAGTGAACCGCGTTCCCGTTCCTCGTTCCCGTATTGAACCGTACCGCGAACCATGTGACTATGATACATACTTCTATTTTGGAATTTAAGCATTAATTTAGTCCTATTTAGGGTAATAACTCTATTAATAATTGTGCGTCTCAATTAAATTTGTAAAAAACTCAATATAAATAGTGATGATGAATTGATGATGTCATGCATGTTGTAATAAGAAAGTGTTCCAAATGTATAGAGATATTAATCAAAACTATATTTGTTTTTAATCTAATTTGTTCTCATCCACAAATTATATGACAAAAACATCTGTGTGCATATTTTACAAAAGATAGTAACACTAGTTATATTAATAAACTTCTCCTTAATGGATAAAGTTTATTCTCTCGTGCATCGCACGGATAGTAACACTAGTTATATTACATTTGTCACGTTAACAGTTTTTTAACCTGCTTGCCATGTTTTTTACAAATACAGATGTCATTTTTATATAAAAATGCCATCTTTTAACATCTGCAAATACCATGCTTATTATAGGAAAATGCCATAAATTTTTTAATATGGCAGTACAAAATATGTCATTTTTTAAAAATATCATGTTTACCTTAAATGACATCTTTTAACATTTTAAAACTGACACGTTTTTACATGTGCAAATGTCAAGTTTTATACGAAAATGTCATGATTAATTTAGCATAGCATTCATTTTTTTTCAAATTGATAATTTCACCAGCGAAGCTGCGAAGGTGACAGCACCCGTGGAAGGGGCGACAATGTCAGATGACGCAGTGGCCTTGCCAAGGGTGGAGATGATGGTGTCGTAGGAGGGTATTGGTGGTGGTAACACTCCATGGTGGCGGCTGTCTTGCTGGAGGGCAGAGGCAGTGATCTCTCCGGAGGGCGGTGGTGTCACCGGAGGCCAGGTGGAAGTGGTGGTATTGTTGGACATCGGTGCCGCCATTACACGCAGCGCAGCAGTAGCCATGGGAAACCGGTTGCCGTTGCTGGACCACCGTAGGGTTGTTTTATATTTTAGTTTATTTTCATTAAGGGTAATTTGGTAAAGTCATTGTACCTTTAATTGTAGAAAACATCGAAGTCCTACTCTTGCCCTTTTGTAATGTTTTAGTCCTAATTAGGTCATTCTCTATATGTATTTATAGGTCAGCATACCAAAGCTTGACTTACCCCTTAACGTACATAGAAAACTACCAAAAACAAAAAGAAAACTACACAATCATGCTCCCTAAATAAATTCATATATCAATTCTGTTATTATGAACACTATGCATTTACTTTGGCAATAAGGTTTATTCAATAGCCTGTTAAAAGGGAAAAGGCTATTTTTGAGCTTTTCACCTCAAGGTGTTGCAATCTAGAAAAAAAGGTAGACTAAGGTGCCAAATTATATATATGACACCCATGAATGGGGTATTTGCCACCCTCATTCACCCGAAACCATGAAGAAAGTATTCTGACAGTCACTGTTGCTCATCAGGAGAGAGGAACGCAGACACCCATGAAAAAAACTCTTTTTAAAGTGTTATAACTTTTCTACTTGTATTCCAATTTTTACAGAAATAAATATCAAAATTTATAACTTCTTATGGTCTTTCATATGACACCAATATTGCATATATAAAGTTTTAAAAATACAAAAGATCTCATGTTTAATATATTTTTTTTACATCTTTATGTTGTTTTTGTAAATAGGTCTGAAGCTAAGAAGCACCGAAACGTCATTCTATTCCCGGCTTCCGTTTCAAAAACATTTCGGAAACGGGAAACGCCGGGAAATGCCGGGAAGCGTCATGGGAATGACGAGAAATGTTTCTGAGGTTCACGAAACGTTTCTGAAACGGTTTTTAATTGAATCGGGGCATTTCTCATTTTCTAAAACATACCTTTAGTCGGCCGCACCTCCTTCTCTCAAACTATACTTGTAAATCGACAAAGGCGAGAAGGAAACCGCGCCCTGAAACGATACTTGCGACTTGCGAATCAGCAGTCCTCACTCAGCAGGGACGATTGACGGCAAGAAGAAAGTCCACGTCGGAGTGTCGAACTACTACCAGAAGTAGGGGCGTAGCTAGGGGGCAAACCTGCCCTGGTCCACCCTAAATTTTAAAAATGTCTATATTTTTAAAGTAAAATATTCATTGTAAAAAAAATTCCAAAAATATTCTTTGTACCAGCCCAATCCAGCCCTGTGCTCTGGCTCTAACCCTGCCCCTGCGGCCCCCTGCCTAGAAGCCGGCAGAGGCACAGACTGGTATTGGCGGTATTGGCTATCAGGCATCAACTATTCAGATTTAATCGCAGGGAAATAGGTATGAAAGAAATGGGTTATGGATATTTGGAGGAATGGGCTATTTAGAATTTGCCACATTATCCTTTTAGATGAGCCCGAATTGGGCTGTAAAGTGATTTTATCACCGAATTATAGATGTTTGGTTTATTTATTTTGTATTTTTGGACATTAACATGACCACATATAATGGTTATTTGTTCTTATTAGTAAAATTTTACTACGTAATTTTCAGTTCAACGTTTCCTTGCCGTACCCGTATCTTGATATATTGAGATAGAGTTTCCCCGTTTCCACCCCGCTTCCGTTTCTCTTTCCATCCCAGTGCTACTTAGACAACAACAACAACAAAAATTAAACTCCAAATTTATTTATTTTGAAATCAAAATGTTTGATTTTTAAATCATAATTATTCACAAAAAATCAATATTACGATATATAATAATAATAATAGTAAAAGTTAGCATTTAATTGTAAAATACCGGGTTGGGTGAATATGTTGACGGTGCTGGATTGTGGGGAAAAATTGACCGAGTGAATACACATATTTTGTAGAAATTTATTGGGAATTAGGTTTATTGATGGAGTGCTATATACACTCACTATCGACTCTCCTATTATTATGATTGTACACACTATATGGAGTCAATGGCCACAAAATTTGGGTTTTTCAAGTATTCACCCCAATGAGTGCAAATTGCTTAAGAAAATATGAAGGCCAGCCGGCATAAAGTGGTGAATCAAACTTACTTTGCAAACTTCATCAACACCAAACTCATCCCACCAATGGAGGTAATTCAGAAACATTTCTTTTGCTTTTACCATATCATAGTTCCTCATTCTAAGAAACCTGCAGCCATCAGAGTGTAAAACTTTCCCACATCTCACACCAGGCCGTGAATATATGTATATATATATATATGTATATATATAGAGAGAGAGAGTACTCTTCCGGTCAGGAATTCCTGATCGGAACCGCCGTCCATCCGGCGGCTTTTGGGGCCCTTCCTGGAGGAATTTTTTAATGAAATTTTTATGACATGTTCTTCATCAAGTCTAGTTTATCCACACACAAAAATCAGCTAAAACCTCAATCGGGAAGGTCGTCAAATGAGTTCTAAAAGATAACTGCACCCAAAATATACATTTAAAACGCAGTTCTCTTCCAAAAATCATTTGACGACCTTCCCGATTGAATTTTTAGCTGACATTTTTTGTGGATAAACTAGACTTGATGTAGAACATGCCATAAAATTTTCATCAAAAAATTCCACCGGGAAGGCGGCCAAACGACGCCGTTTGGACGGCGGTTCCTGTCCAGAATTCCGGGCATGAACTACTCTCTCTCTCTCTCTCTCTCTCTCTCTCTCTCTCTCTATATATATATATATATATATATATATATAAAGATTGAATAGGATATGTTTGTGATCGGATAAGGCAGAAACATGTACACGCACCTTAAGAGGGTATGATCTCCGGGTTCCTTCCCTACCATCAGGGAATTATCACAGAATACAAACTTACGGAATGAGTCGACTTTTTCTTTATCCTCAGGGCCATGCTGCACAACTGTTTCTCTACTTCCGCTCTTTCGCATGCCTTTCTTGCAACACAACGATAGTCTCACCTTTCTGTGTTTTGGACTTCCGTTAGCTTCTTCTTGTGGAGCTAAAATTCAAAAACAAGCTAAGTTGGTTTCAATCTGCGTTGAAGTTTATCAATCTGCAGTTTAGCAACTTACTGACCTTTCTTCGGATTTGATGTTTTTCTGCTCCTTATAATCAATATGTCCCTTGCCAACTTTGGCTTATTCATGTATACCTGGCCTGCTTTTATCTAACACCTCATAAACATTATTGTATGATAGTAAAATATTCTTCCATACTCAATAAATTTATTTCAAGATATTCTTTCATACATTTTCATACATACAATTATATTATACTCCGTAAGTCCGTATAAGACTAAGAAATCTAAATGTATCTAAAATGTTAACATATTTCAATCAAATTTCATTTGCCCTTGTACTTTCCAAGCAGTTTAAAATAAAATCTTAAATATATTTTTTGTCCATGTGAATGTAGTTTTTTGGTTGTGGTTATGTGCAATCAACAAAAATTTTCATTGTTCAAAGATGCTATTTATTTGCTGCCCATTTTTTATGCAACAACAACAACATAAGTTATAACTTGTGTTGCTCTTTATTTAGTCTCTAGTCAACCCTTGGAACCCCTGTTTAAGATTGAAACAACATGACTGACAGGTTTTATGTCTTTGGGGTTCAAGTAATTCCAAAAATTCAAAGAAACAAAGTGATATATTATTTGAAGAACTGCTCTTGTTCAAGTTCCATGTTCTTGTTCCACTCTTAGTTTTAGTATGTTTAATATTTAGGTTGAGAGGCACCTTTTCGACAAGACAAGGTTGCGCAATCCCCTAGTATGAGCTGGGGTGACTCAAGGGTGGACTAGATTCAAGTTCCATGTTCTTGTTCCACTCTTGGTTTAGTATGCTTAAAATTTAGGTTGAGAGGCACCTTATCGATGAGACAAGGGTTGCACAATTCTACCTAGTTTGAGATGGGGTGACTCAAGGGTGGACTAGAAGAGTCTATCTTGTAGTCATGTTTAAATGGATTTTTAGTGATTAAGAGTTTTCCATTCCTTCAAGGAAGATCAAAGTTTCTCGATCCATCTTGAGTCAATAGATTTGTTCCTCATTAAATCTTTGTACATTTACTTTTTCTTTTATCTGTACCTAGCTCTAGAATTAAGCAAAATATGACATAGAGAGCCACCTCTTGTATATTTCAACCAATTCATCAATATTTATTCCTAATAATGAGCCACAGAGACCAATGTTAACAATGCGGATGATGATTAGTTTTAGCTCTGTTAATAATTCAAAAAACTTATAAAAACTGAAGTGTAAAAGTTAGAGCTGAGCTATGCAGGCGATATAATTTTTCTAAATATAAATTGCTCGTGACTTAGAGGGACACTAAATGAAAATTGAATAATGTATTCCAAAGTTGAATGTATAGGGATCTAAACAAAATGCTTTTATTCCTATCGGTACCAATTGTGTGGACACTTGTATCTTATTGTTATAAAAACTTTAATTTATGTGTAATTTTTCTCATTGTTTCAAATAGGGTATTTTTATTGTACGTTGTAATTAATCATTTTACTTCGAAGATGGCTAGGAGGACAACCCTATTAAAATATAGCTATTCAGTTATCTCTCTATGTCCCTTATAACTTTGTCATCTTTTTCTTTTTTATTGTACCAAAAACTTTGTGGTTCTTGCTATTTCTGTATCATCTGCACATATCTCAACCACACAATTTTTACTTTAATATCATGTGTCAGTCAAACTTGGCAACTCTTAAGGAGCGGAGGGAGTATTGTTTTAAGATTACCTAATTTTAAAACTTTTTTTGGCAAATCTTTCTAACCTATTAAAGTATTTGTTCTGTTAAGGCCAACATCCTTGAACTGGGATGGGATTCGAACCTGTGACCTCCTCTTTGGAAGTGTCACAGTAATGCCATCAGACCACAAGGTACTTGGCCCTAATTTTTAAACTTCAACAATATAAAATTTAATTTTCTTGGACAATCTAATTTATCTGAATGTCGTGAAATTTAATTACATTATTATATAATGCTCCCTCCGTCCCATAATTAACTTCACATTGAACATTTCATGGTCTCCAATATTAAAGTTTGACCATTGATATATAAAAGATACACTTATAAAAGCTTATAATAAACAAACATTTCAATAATATATATTACATTGAAGCATTCAAAATTATTTTGGTATTATAAATAATGTGGTTTTTGACTAATTAACGGTCAAAGTTAACAAAGTTTGACTCAAAAGTCAAACTGTGAAGTTAAATGTGGGCGGAGGTAGTGTTATTTTTCTTTTTTATGGGACTTTAGTAATTTAGTTCGTCATTCAGAATAGGGCCTCGAAATCTTATTAGATGACTCTGGTATTTTGGTACTGAAACCTATCAAGAATGTTGCACCATGTTGTAATAAATGAAGTTTGTCTCAAATCAGGTGCATGTTGATTTCACAATATCATCAGTTCACAAAGCTCTAAAGCAATTGAAAACACGGAAGATTTTAGAAAAAACAAAACAATACTAAATTTTACAGATGAATAAAATAAAAATCAACTTTTGAAAGTTTTAAAAACCATGGTACATTTCTAGAATTTTTTAAGTATTTTTACATCTAACATGAAATCTAAATTGGAAACTTATATAAGTTTTCTCCGAGTTGTAAAAAAATCAAGAGTTGATAGTAGCGATTACTAAAAGGAGGTTGCGTGCAATTTTTTTATTTAGACTTATTTAAGTCTATAGACCAGATCAGAACAAACTATCTCAGACTTAAATAGATCAGACCAGACCACATTTAAAGACAAGACCAGACTTTGACTGTTACGCGGACGACCAGACATTTACCGGACCAAATTAGACAAATTCAGACCAGACTTAAACACACCAAACCCGACTAGAAAATTAAATTTTAATCCAATACAAAACATCATAATTCTCATATTAGACCATGTTTTGGATAATTATTAGATTAATTAATTTGAACACCGTAAACGTTTCTTTAAAATTGAGCTTAAGCTAGTTAGGAACCTTTTAATAACTATGTTCAAATTAAGGTGAACCTAATTTTAAACCTAGAAAATCTTAGATGCAAACAAACGATCAAGTAAGAAGAACACACTTAAAATTAATAGAATGATGGAATCTAACATTATTATTGAAGATGACAAAGAGATTTCTCATGCCAAGTAGTTTAGAGAGGCAAAAACTTACATTTTAACCGACGCGAAATGAAGCCCGGGTCTGCAGGGGGGGACAAAAGAGGGATGAAGGCGCTAATAACCTTATGAAGATGAGAAGGCGGATTAGGCGTTGTTATTGAAACTTGGACATCAAATTCCATGCTTTTTGCTGTTGAAAAGAATAATATACTCCGTACTATACTCAGTAAGAAAGAAACACAGAATATTTGGGTGTCAAGCAACATCCTTCCGGCCTTCACTCTACTTGAAAACATTCCTAGGCCGGTACGGGGCTATGCGTGAGATTAGGGCTGAGCATACCCGACCCAACCCTAACGACCCGATCGGGTTTATCCGATCCGTGGGCTTAGGGTCGGATTATCCGATCCGAAAGGGAGCAACCGAACCGGCCCACTGGTTATTGGGCTGCCTATGGGGTTCGGGTAGGGTTTGGGCTTTTCCTACCCGACCCGCCCGACCACCCGATTTTACAGGCCCAACCCATTAATCCATTATATACTCTACCTTACCCATAACCCATTAACCCAACCGCCCAACCCTACATCCTTAACCCTTTAACCTAATTATCGGTCACCACTTCACATTAGTGATACAGGATCCTTTTTAGTTCACTTGCAGGCTGCTTAGAGTCACCCTTAGTATTGATTTGGTGAAAACCATAATTGCTGAACTAAATTTGCTTACCAAACTAAACTTGCTTTAAAGATTTAGCCCTACATAAAAGTATAAAATTTATAAATTATATACAAAATCTTTATATCTTTATATATAATATAAAGTAACAGTCGTGGCACAACAATTGGAGGGAAAAATCCCGCCCAAAATGAGAACATAATATTGAATTAATGGAAAGTTAAATTTGGTAATGCATTAACTAACCATTAACGAATAAAGAAGTGACCACCGCATGTTTTTAAAAAAAGGTACTACATAAGTGCGTAACAAAGAAGAAAAAAATTTACAAAAAAAAAGAGATAAATGAAATTCTATATTTTTTAAAGTATGGTAACTTTTTTATTTGGATTCTGATTGTTACAAGAAATATATCAAAATTCATACGTAGTAAGTTTTTATTATCTTTCATATGACACCAATATTGAGTATATAAAAATAAAAACCAACACTTTAAAAACATCTACTCCGCATTCCTTAAGTGCTATATTTTTTTTTAATTTGTACTCCGATTGTTACAAAAAATATATCAAAATTCATAATCTTTTATTATCTTTCATATGACACCAATGTTGAATATTATTATATAATATGAAATAGCAAAATTACTAAAATTATTGGAGGGAAACTTCCTGCCCAAAAAGTAATAAATATGTAAATAGTCAAATTGTGGGTAATTAATTGTAAGATACGGAGTATATTATTACCATAAAAATTATCATGAATCGCCATTTGAGCATAAAATGTTTAATTAATAAGAACTCGTTTATTGACCCTTTTTTCAACTTATCAGGTTTATCAGTCAGCTTTTTCATCAAACACGTAACTTTTGATTTTTTAATAAGCAGAAAAAGTAAGGTTGGAGTTACTTTTCTGGCTGTATTGCCTGAAGTTAATGTAGATGATCATTTTAGCTACTACCTCCGTCCCAATTTGATGGTATCATTTCTCTCTCCTTTGGTCAACAGAAATCACTCTTAATCGCTTACTTTATGTATTAAATTTTAATCAAATTTAATCCAGGTGTTTGCGACTTTGTAAAGTTTTTAATGTAGTTTCTGAATATGTAAATTTTTTTCTAAAAATAATTTGAGTGCGGACAAGGATCCGTTTGCTTTATCGTAAACCGCAATGGTATCATCAAATTGGGACGGAGGTAGTATTTTTTTATATAATTTTTTATTTATTTTAGTAATAACAAATATTTTAAATACTCCATATAATTTTTTCATGAATCAGCAGAATCGGTCAATACAGCCACTTCAACCAGAACTTCATAAATTTCAGCAGAATCAGTCAATTTTAATGTTACCAAACGGACTCTAAGTTTATCAAATTTGTTTATCATAAATCTATAAGTATTAAGTCTGCTCATTTCATTAAAAGTGTCACTTAAACAAAATTGATAGCAAAATGGAAAGATGATTTAAGAGAATCGGAAGTGCGTTCCTTTCAAAATAAAAAAGAATTGGGAGTGACATACTGCTACACAATTAAATTCCCGCCCAAAATGAAGACACAATAAGAAATTAGTGACAATTCAAAAAGTAATTTTGGTAATGCATTCATAGGCCATTAGTAATAAATAAATTGACAAGCACGCTATAAAAAAGTGACAAAGAGGATAATGCCATTCACAAGTCTTATCAAAATAAAATTTCATTCTTTTTAAAAGTGTCGTAACTTTTTTATTTGTAAAATTTCATATAATTTATACAATTTCATTAGGCCCACTAATAATTGTATATCAATTAGTCCCATTAGTAATACAATTGCTATTTATTAAACAATCAAAAGTCACATCATAAAACTATATCGTCTTTTTTTCTTTTAAAAATTTACACATTATGTAATATTGTTGTTGGGATATTAGGTCCAGACCCAATATCCCTAGGCCCAAATCCGGGAAGAAGCAGCGGGCCCAAGGCAGTCCAAAGAACTCCGGAACGGCATTCGGGATAAAACTTATACTTGGAACATTCCGGGAAACAATTATGCCAAAGTACCAAGGCCCAGATACCGATCGGCGTTCGGGATACTTCCATAACAAAATAACACCTATGGCGGGGTCCCACACACCGAACACCTTGCCCGAACGGACGGTCAGCAAGTGGAGGCCGCATTTAATGCTGGGTCATGGCAGCTGCAAGTGGGGGCATGAGTGCTTACATGGCAGAGGTGACAGCCTACCAGATTCGGCCACGTGTCCACCTTACCCATCCCCATTTTAGTATAAATACCCATGTTTAGATCATTGTAAGGGGTTAGCATTTTAATACTCAGAGCTTAGCAATAGATTTACATCTTCCATCCTTGTAATCTCATACTCATCTACCGTTCGGGTAGCTTCAGTGTAATAGCATAATTACGGAATACAAGTGAGCTCTTGAGTTGAATATTATCTCACTATTTTATATTTTATACACTTTTCAACCCAATCCAATATCCCTACAATATCCAAAGCTAGTGTTGGGCTTTCGGATCTTCGGGAATAAACTTCAACAATTGTAAAACAAAAATTTACTACGTATTATTAGATATACCCCGTGCATCGCACGGGTACTTCGTCTAGTATAATAATAAAGATCATTGTCCAAAGTTGGTTCATAATCATTGATCAAGAAAAGTTAATATGACGAACCTTTTCGGAGCGGAGGTAGTAAAAGTTTTTAACTTCTTTTGTAATTATATTTGAAAATCGGATACATGTATCAACTTTTTTATAAAGGAAATACACAAAAATTAAATAATAAAAGTATTAAAAGGTAAAAACTAAAAAAATGTGGGTTTTTTACGAGAATATTATTAAAATAAAACTTATTTACATAAATATGACTATTCATTACTACAACGTAGTGCTGTGGTAACTAAAGTTCAAAACTTGAACATGAATTACTATGATTTCATTACTACTCTAGTAATGAATCATATTTTTGTAAACCATCTTTATTTTGGTCATATTTATGTAATTATTTCAAAAAATGTTCTAAATTCGCTTATCCCTAATTCGTTGTTAGAGAATTGCAAAAAGTCATATTGATGCACCTATAATCTATTCTACTGATCTATTCGCAATTTTTTTATCTTTTATATTCATTACTTTAAATTATTCCAACAACTAAGCATTTGTTTAAGGCTAAAGGGTCAAATAGGTACATGAACTAACTTAAAGTGTTCAATTAGCCCCTTATATAGGAGGTTCTGCCCGGCCGTCACCAATTGGGGCGGTTCCCGGTGGAATTTGTTGATGAAATTTTTTGAGCATCTTCTTCATTAAGTCTAGTTTACCCATATCAAATTTCAGCTAAAAATTAAACCGGGAAGGCAGTCAAATGATTTTCTGAAATGTACTGCGTTGTTTAACTGCACAGTTATCTTCAAAAAATCATTTCACTGCCTTCCCGGTTGAATTTTTAGCTGCAATTTGGTATGGGTAAACTAGACTTAATGAAAAAGATGCTCAAAAAAATATGTACACGTCATAACATATTAAATATATGTACACTATTAGTATAAATATTATGTGAATAATAAAATATTATTGTACACGTCATAACATATTAAATATATGTTATGACGTGTACACTTAACGTTATGACGTGTACACTTCATTATGTTATAAATATTAAATAATAACAAAAAAATATGGAGAAAATATTAGCTTACAATGACACTTTCTGAAATAGTGTTACTAATAGCAATCATGCATATGTACACGTCATTGACTTGTTATACAATGACATCAAAATATATAGTTGCATTGAATAAGGTATTACAGAGTACAATTTAATTTTGATTTTTTCATGGAAACTTTTATACAAGAACAAAAACATTCAACTCCCTCCACCAATATTTGGTTTCCTCGTGTCCGAACTCATAAAAAAACCCTAATGTGAAGATGAATTCACCCAAATTTTACTCTAACCCTAATAATCTCTTCCCTAAAGTTCTAAATTCATATCTTGCATATAAGTGTCTCTTCTTAGCTTCATCATTTTTTCTTTGATGCCTTAATCTATTTCTTGTTCAAGCAAGAAGGGATTGCAGGCCAGGAAACGGGACACTAGTGAACTGGCTGAGCTAGAGGCACATGTTTGTGGTCAAATACGTATATACAATTTCTAATGTTTAGCTATTGCCGATTAGTGTCACTGTATCACTGACACTGCCTCTGAGTGGATCATTGAAGGATTCTGCCGTAGATTGTCTTGTATGTTGTTTCGATATGAATATAAAAAGCCGCACTTTAACGTTCAAAAGAAAAACTTTTCTCAATTTTTAACTAGTTTAAACTAAAAATTAACAAATCAATAAAGACAAAATTTATAAAAATAATCCATACTTTCAGGGATTCTACAATAATAATTCATACTAAGAGTGTGCATATGAATAATCCGAACTAGCATTGGTGTTCAAATTAATGCTTGTTTAATATTCTCTGCCCCTACTTCCACTTTTCTCTTCCTTGCTCTTCTTCTCGGAGTGAATTCAAACCAAAACCCGTTTAATCTAAAAATAGTTTTTTGGAATATTGTACTTAATCGCCTAAAATTGCCCCAGTCCTCTAACTAGGACAACATAGCTGGTCTATTGCAAG